CCTCGACCTCGAGCTTGGCGCCATCACTCAAACCAGTAATCATCTCCCCATATCTCCCCATATCTCCCCATATCTCCCCATATCTCGCGCCTGCGGAGGCCGACGTCGGCGAAGGACGACATCTTCTTCTTGAACTGCGAGCCGACACGAGCGGCCTCGCCCAGCTCCGGCGGAAGCGTGCCCGACAGAGCGGAGCGATCGAGATCGAGAACCTAGGAGCTAGGGCGGAGGAGAAGTTAGCTGGAAGCGACCCTTCGAAGCGAAGGCCAACGCCCCTCACCGTGACGCCACAGGCTAACTAGGAGCAGGACGGGCGTAGAGAGGCGAAGTAGAGGGGCCCAAACGCAGGCTTTGCGGGATGCTATGGTCGAGTGCTAGCAAACGTCCAGATCGAGCGCCGCTGGCGAGAAGAGGGAGATATGGGGAGATGTGGGGAGGTGTGGGGAGATATGGGGAGGTGTGCGGAGCTCTGGGGAGAGGTGGGGAGAGGTGGGGAGATGTGGGGAGGTATGGCGAGGTGTGGGGAGATATGGGGAGATGGGGGAGATGTGGGGAGGTATGGGGAGGTGTGGGGAGATATGGGGAGATGTGGGGAGGTATGGGGAGATGTGGGGAGGTATGGGAAGGTGTGGGGAGATATGGGGAGATGGGGGAGAATGGAGGGGAGATGCGGGGAGGTATGGGGAGATGCGGGGAGATGCGGGGAGATGTGGGGAGATATGGGGAGATCGAGCGCCTCAAGCGAGAAGAGGGAGGCGGCCGCGGTGGCGGGGAAGGTGCCGGAGATGGAGGTGCGCCGCAGGTCGAGCTGGCGCAGCCGCGGCAGCTTGAAGTGGTGGGGGACCGTGCCCGAGATGCGCGTCTTTTCGAGCTCGATCTTCTGGAGCAGCGTGAGAGACGAGGTGAGCAGCGCCGGAAGGGTGCCTGAGGTTGGCGGGTGGATGGTCAACAGCGCCAATGGAGCAGTGGGCGGCGAGGTGCGCGGAGCTCCGGCAGGCTGTGTGTGCCTGAGACGGCCGTCTCGTCGAGCGACAGAGAGGCAAAGCTCGCCTGCCCCGCACGTGCAGTGGACACACACTCACACAACAACTGATCGCTGTCTCTCACAACCGGCGCTCGCGCTCGCGGCAGAGTGTGTGGCGGCGCGACGCTCGCCGACAGCTGCTGCAGCTCCGGCGGCAGGGTCCCGCTCAGGGCCTCGTTGCCTGCAGACAAGAAGAAAGAGAGGCTGCGCGCGCGTGCGCCCCTCCCCCTCCGAAAACAGCTTGGGAGAGCGCGGCGCTGCCGTCCGCGTCGATGGCGATGAGGCGCGAGAGCGAGGCGAGCGAGCGCGGCAGCGTGCCTGATCCGGTGCGGTGGAGCAGGACTCGGGGAGATATGGGGAGATATGGGGAGATTTGGGGAGATATGGGGAGGTGATGCGGTGGACGAGGGCTCCCCGCGCGCTGAACATGCCGCGGGAGGCGCGCAGAGGCGCGGCCTTTGTTAGTGTGCTGCGCTACATATTGGCGAGGAGTCTTGGCGAGTGTGGGATTGTGGTGATGATTCTTGGCGCCGCGGGCCTTCGAGCCGGTTGCCTTGCAGGTTGAGTCCGATCACCTCGCCGCCGCCGCTCGCCGCCACCTGCTCACCGCAAAGCAAAGGCCACGTGCACGGCGGAGTGGGCCACAGTGCTGTGCCGCCGCCCCCCCCCCCCCCCTCCCACACCTCTTTCGAGCACGTCACGCCCCACCAGCGGCACACGTCGCCTCCCGTTGTCCAGTTGGTGGCGTACCTCCTGTAGAGAGTTATGCATAAAGTGCCCCTGTGGGCCGTGAGGAGGAGGAGGAAAATGCTCTCTCTCTCTGCCATGGGCTGCTCCAAGTCCGGGGGGCGAGGAGGAGGAGGAGAATGCTCTCTCCCTGCCATGGGCTGCTCCAAGTCCGGGGGGCGAGGAGGAAGAGGAAAATGCTCTCTCTCTGCCATGGGCTGCTCCAAGTCCGGGGGGCCAGGAGGAAGAGGAAAATGCTCTCTCTCTGCCATGGGCTGCTCCAAGTCCGGGGGGCGGGGGGTCCCGGCGCGCCATTTGCCGTCTGCGCCGCCCGCCGAGGCGTACAGCTCCTCTAGCGCCTGTGTGGCGAGTGCATACGGCTCGCGAGGTCTCGGGGAGACTTGGGGTGCG